AATCCCAGGCTTGGTTGAGCCTTGCTGGGTGATGTAATCTTCCCAGGTGCCATGTGGTGAGATGGGTAGAGGGCTAATGCTACCTTTTCTGGATCTTGGCATTTGCCTATGAATAGACTTAGCTATCTCTTCATCTCTTAAGTGTGGACATCTGCTGGGAGGCTATTGAGAATGATGGGGGCTATTAAGAGTGAGTCTGTTTCCTGCCTAAAAACATTTTTTCTCCATTTCTCATCCAGTGAAATATAATATTTTGCCTTTTTAATATTTCCTAGAATATTTCATTTTTCTAGGAGAGGGGTGGGTCTTAACTTCCTAAAGTACCACATAAAAATGATATGATACTTCCGGAAAAAAAGCATGGCTTATTTTAAGTATCTGCCAATTTTGGTAGGTTTTTTTTCCCAGGACTAAATAAAAGTCTATGACATCACAGATGGGTACAGATGGAATTTATGTAATCTCCATTTTTCAGAGGCACCCACTTTGTTCATGTTTGATCCATCTTTTTGTTGGTGAAGTCTCCTGGACTCTAAGAGTTGCTTGACAGACATCACATTGGTCTCAAATTGCCTACATGTAAACATCAATACCTATTGAAAAGGGATTTAGGAGAACTCGCCATGGCCAACTTACATGAGATAACACAATAAATATTATCCACAACTGTTTCTTCTACATTATTCCAATTTTTGTCAACAGAAATAAGGACAAAGAAACAGTGGCAGATAATATTGAGCACATTGAGTTATCCCATGTAGAATTGTCATACAGCACGTTGGCCATTGCTAGTTGTCCTGGCTGCAGCAAGATGGTTGCGATGAGGTGGCCATGGCAAGATAGACACAGCGGGTTGTCCACAGCAAATTGTTCCATTCTGGTTGAAAAGGGCACATCAGTCTTTATGTAAAATTATGTGGAGTACCACGGTGTTTTCAGTATTCAAGAAAGATTGCAGTCGATTGCAAGTCAGTCAAGTATAGGTCTATTTCAGTTCATATGCTAACCTTGGACAATTATCAGCTGCCTTTGGAGTCAGATATCATGGGGGGGGGGGCAAAAGAACAGCTGGAGCCTGTTCCTGATGTGCGCATGTGCAGAGCTGTCAGGAGAAGGGAACAGCTAAGGAATAAGGACCGACGTGGGAGTATAGGCACAGGTGGACGGTGAATGGCCCCTCCCATAGGGAATAAAGAGAAGCAAAAGAGGAGTGGAGTTTGCAGGAGACAATTAGTTCACTTAATTGGTTTGTGACTCTCAAAGACTCCTTGCCAAGTACAGCAATTGGGTTTTGAAGATATCAGCCTGGCAGCCAGGGCCAGATTTAGATGAAAAGAGGCCCTAGGCTATTCCACTTATGAGGCCCTTTCACCTCCCATTTTTA